TGGCTTATGAAACATAATACAACCGAATTTCTTTACAAACAAGTCTGTTTTTTTTCTATGCAAGTTATTTTCAAAATTGCTGCATATCGCCCAGGCTTTGGATAATTTTACACGGTCGTGTGCTGGTTGGTGTGTTGCAACCTACGTGTTGGGAATTGGCGATCGTCATAATGATAACATACTTGTAACTACTGCTGGCCATGTTTTCCACATCGATTTCGGGAAATATATGGGTGACTGGCAGACAGCTGCTGGTTTCAGAAGGTACGCTGAAGATTTTTTGTGCTTGTCTTTATTTATTCTTTCTTTTCATATACTTTATCGAAAATCTTTTTATGTCTAACCTCTGTCTCGAGACCACATCACTGATTTTCTTTCGAAAGCTTTGCAGTTCTCTGACGTATTCATTACATCACTAAGCAGATAGTCTCGCCATGCATCAATGCGTGAAATTTGATAATGCTCAAAGGCTCATTTTTTTCGCAAGCAATATTTTGAGCTAGCTTTCCCTGTACGTTTGACGAGGAGTTCCACTCCTACGTGCTAGTTCGTTCTTATCTCAATCTTTCCTCTAATGATGAAAAATGGGAAGGGGCGAGTGGCGTTGTGGTATGAGGCCCGTTATGACCAGGTCGCATGCCGGTTTCCCACCCCTGGGTCAACCAAGACCTCTACCCTTCGGAGACGGATTGGTACCAGAGTAATTCTGGGAGGATAAAAGCACTGACTTGGAAATCGGCTGGCCCCTGCAAGTCATGTAAAAGCCTCGCACGCATACAGTTGCCTCTTCGACTATGAATTAGTGTTTGCATCGGCGCATCCACGCAGAGGGTATCGAAGACGCCGAATCTTCTATTCTTTTTACTTTAAAGAAAAGGATAGTGCTCATTGTAACGTGTTGATATCTTCTAGGGACCGTGTGCCTTTTGTTTTCACCTATGAGATGTATTTCGTGATCAATGGTGGTAATCAGCAAAGGGAAAGCTACCAGACATTCATAGACTATTGCTGCAAGGCGTTCAATTATCTTCGTCGTAATTACAGTATTCTTACCAATCTACTCAAGATAGTGAGTTTCCATCGTTTCAACGGTGAAATATGATAACTTCACATTTACCAGATGGCCTGCTCTGACATCTCTGGCATGAATATCGAATCTTTGAACTTTGTGGAGAAGAACTTGATGCTTGAGCTGAGCGAGACTGATGCAGTGATACAGTTCACGCAGCTAATAAATGTA